GGGGCAGTTATAACGGTATAAGAGAAATATAACTCCCAAACTAGGTGTCAGGTGTGCAGTTTGGGTTTTTTTTCTTCTTCTTTTTTTTTTTAATGATCTTTTTGAGACAGAGTCTCATTATGCAGCTCAGGCTGGCCTTGAGCTCACTTTGTGGTTCAGGCTGGCCTCAAACTCTCAACGATCCTCCTGCCTCAGCCTCCTGAGTGCTGGGATTGCAGGTGTGCACCACCATGCCCGGTACTGTTTGGGTTTTTTGAGACAGGGTCTCCTTTGTAATTTAGGCTGGTCTTTAATTCACTATGTAGTCTAGGTGATCCACCTGCCTCAGCCTCCTGAGTGCTGGGATCGCAGGTGTGTAGCACCATGCCTGGCAAATGTGACGAGTATGTGTGCCCCCTAAAATCGAAGAATGAATTCCAATGGACAAAGGAGATTAAGAGTAGGGAAGGTTGCCACGCACCGTGGCGCACACCTGTAATCCCAGCACTCGGGAGGCTGGGGCAGGAGGATCATTGTGAGTTCAAGACCAGCCTGGGCTATAAAGTGAGCTCAAGTCCAGCCAGAATTGCATAGTGAGACCCTGTCTCAAAAAGACAAAAAAAAAGAAAGAGTAGGGAAGGTTTAGTGGGAAATAGGAATAGCTCTGAGAGACAGGAGGGGTCCCAGAAATGGGTTGCCTCTGAGGTCATTTCTCCAGGAAGGTTTTATAGAGCAAAATCATGAGGTAGGTACAATGTAGGTCAAACAATAATCAACCAATAAGATTACAAGCATAGCCATTCAACTAAGATTGATCCAATAGGAAGCCATGCACGTAGCTAGGGTGCATGGCTGACATCATTAGTTTTGGCTTATCTATGACATCTAAAGCAGGACTGTTTTGAGGAATGGATGTTCAGGTGTTCAGACACCCACCCAGGTGTCTAATGTATATCTAGATTAAATGGACTGGGTGGTACCACTTCCATTATCATCTCAAATTTCCATTCATTGCTTAGGGAAGTATGCAAAGCTGGCCATTGTGACTTTGTGGTTTTTTGTGGGTTTTTTTTGTCTTTTTGAGTCAGGCTCTTACTGTCAAGTTCAGGCTGGCCTTGAACTCACTTTGTAGCCCAGGCTGGCCTCAAACCCTCAGCAATTCTCCTGCCTCAGCCTCCTGAGTGTGGGGATTACAGGCCTACTCCACCACTCCCAGGTTTTGTGACTTAATCCTGAGGACTGGTCTTCTTCAGGTGCACCTCCAGCCACCATTCTGATGTCTCCACCTTTTATTGATGTCCTCAAGAGCCCAGTCCCTCTGTGGCTGTAGTAATTTTTCATCTAACTTAGCTGCCTCTAATAGCACTCACAAGCATCTGTGTGTCTGGCAGGAGAACACCGGGGTCATGGCCCATGGTGACAAAGAATGAAACCGTGGGATGGAGGAGGTAGGATGCAAGCCAATTCATTTAAGAGATATGGAGTCAAGGAAATAAAACTCTCACCAGCTGGTTGTGGGATATCCTGGAGGGCTCTTTGTCTAGGTTTGTTTCTTGGTTTTGATTTTCTGAGACAGAGTCTCACATTCAGGCTGGCCCTGAACTCACTGTGTAGCCCAGGCTGGCCTTGAACTCACAGCCATCCTCCTGCCTCAGCCTCCCAAGTGCTGGGATTACCGGTGTACACTACCATGCCCAGCCCCTATCTTTTCTTTAAACTTTGAGATGGGGTCTTGTTGAGTTTCCCATGTTGGACTTGTGGGAAGTTACTCCTGCCTAATTATACCTTATTTTTCCACTTTCATAAAAATGATCTCATTTCAATCTCCAATTTTTTATTGTCGGATATTAACAATTCTGCTAATATACGCATAACAGAAAGGAAAGGCACTGTCTTCCAACATAACTTGATATGGAGAAACCTTGCTTAGCAAGGTTTGGGGAGAGGACGTGAGTTTGGAAGTCAGACCCTGAGTTCAAGTCCCGCCTCTGCCACTCCTGCGGACACCTCTCTCAGCCCCTGTGGGATGTGATCCCTGTGGGATCAGAAGGGGGTGCTTTCTCCTGTGCTGTGGTGGAAGCAGACAGAGGTGGACTCTCCTCAGCTTTCTAGGATTTGCAGGTGCTTCTTGTGTGTGCAACACCTGTGATCGCCTTGTCCCTGGCAGGGTTCTCCAGGGACTTTAGATTTCAGCCTAGACCACTCCTCCAGGAAGCCAGAATGCTTCCTAACTTATAGTTATGTGACAGCTCTGCATCTAACATCTTTGTGCCTGTCGTAGTCAGGGTTTGCACGGCAAACAATTTAATATAGGACACATAATTTATGGGATTATTTTATAGTGTTCACCCAAAGAACCAAATGCAAAAGAGTGCAAGAGACCTGTCGACACACTAGAGACCCAAAACATCCAGCTGAGGGCCTGGGTCCCGTGACAGTGTCCTGCATGAATCCAGCTGAAGACCTAGAGCCCATGGCAATGTGCTCCACAAGTCCGGCTGGAGCCCACGCCAATGTCCCATGCAAGTCTGTATCAAGGATCTGCACTGGAAAGACCCAAAGGCCAGTGGTGAAAGCTAGAAAGTCTGCACCAGTAGGCTGAGGGATCTGCAGGGAAGCAGGAAGTGATGCTCAAGGTAAAGACCAGAGCTCCCCCAAAGGGAACTGTGGCCATTCTCAGCGACAGGGAGGACCTGAGCTCCTCTGACGATGAGAACAGCTGAGTTCATATCAGGAAAACCAGCACGACAAGCTTCTCCAAGAGAATCAACAGCTCACACCATCTTCCCCTCCAGTTTTCTTCTTACGCTGGTGGCAACTACCTCAGGGGGGCCATCCACACCCAGCACCGCGCTGATTCAGTTCAGCTGGGTGTTACAAGTTGACCGTTAGTTAATCCACCACAGGGCCTGTTTCCTTATCTGAACATGGGGAGCATGGTGGTGGAAGCCTCTAATCCCAGCACTCAGGAGGCAGAGGCATGAGGATCGCCTTGAGTTTGAGGCCAGCCTGGGCTATGTGGTAGGTCCCAAGCCAACCTGAACTACACAGCAAGACCCTGTCTCAAAAAACAAATAAAACTAAAATACCAAACTTGGAACTGGTGTGCAGGGAGGATTGCTGCCTAGTAGTATATCATGTGTGCTGCCTGAGAATGTGACAGGGCGGGGGCAGGGACAACCTCAGTGCCGATGCAGCTGCCTGCCGCCGTGCCTGGATGAGGTGCTGGGTGCTTGGCTTTCTTCTTTCCTTTTCGTTTCCTTTTTTAAAAATTTCTGTACTGATGATTAAACTCAGGGCCTGCACACTGAGCTACATCCCCAGTCAACACCCCCATATACATATATTTTTAGAACCATCAATATAGCTTTATTTTATTTATTTTATTTTATTTTTTGTCTTTTTGAGACAGGGTCTCTCTATGCAGTTCAGGCTGCATAGCTCACTTTATAGCCCAGGCTAGTCTCAAACTCACAACGATCCTCCTGCCTCAGCCTCCCAAGTGCTGGGATTACAGGTGTGCGCCACCACGCCCGGCCTTTTTTTAATTTTCTTTTTAATTTTTTTTCCCTGGTACTGAGAATCGAACTCACGACCTTGCGCTTGCCAGGCAGGCGCTGTGTCACTGAGCTCAATCCCCAGCCCCTTTTTAAAATTTTTGATCACAATTGATGCTTCTTGTTCTTAGCCTCTGGGTGGTATTACTTATTTATCCTGGTCCCTTAATATAACAATCATGTCCCACAAGGCTGGGCACTACCTGACCCACGGAGAAAATTACTAAAACAGAGGCAGGTGTGGTGATGCACACCTATAATACCAGCACTAGGGAGGCTGAGGCAGGAGAAACCTCATGAGTTCAAACCCAGCCTGAACTATAGAGAGGCCCTGTCTCAAAGAAAACAAACAGACAAACAAGAAGGATAATATAAAATGGAGACACCCAGCACAGCAGCAGAGAGAATGCAGCAAGAGGGCCTTGCCTCCTTTAAAAAAAAATGTTTACTTTGAGACAGGGTCTCACTAAGTCACTGAAGTATCCAGGCTTGACTTGGATTTGTGATTATCTTGCCTCAGCCTTCCAGAATTCAGGGATTACAGCTGTGAGCCACACACCTGGCTAATAGAGCTGCTGACATCCTGGACTTCTAAATCTGTCTCTGGGACGCAACCCTAGAGGATGCATATCCTCCTGCTCTGCCCCCTACGTGACATTTTTCCTCCAGAATCGAAGGGTGCCAGTCAAATGCAGCAGAGAAGGGTTAAAATTAGGGGAGAGGCCGAGCGTGGTGGCGCACGCCTGTAATCCCAGCACTTGGGAGGCTGAGGCAGGAGGATTGTTGTGAGTTTGAGGCCAGCCTGGGCTACATAGTGAGTTCAAGGCCAGCCTAAACTGCATAGAGAGACCCTGCCTCAAACAAAACAAAACAAAAAGTTAGGGAGAGGAGTGAATCCCTTCTCTTCCTGTCTTCAATCCCACGGCAGTGTCACCCTGCCTCAGGGCTTTGCCATCCGTGTGTGGACCAAGCACAAGACTATAGCCACAGGCTACTGCAGCACCTGGAGTGTGAAGCCCTGGATTCAAGCCCAAGTACCAGGGGGGACATACTGACAAATGCAGGGAGATGTGATTGAGTGACAGGATTGAAAGGTGGTCAGGAAAAGGCCACATGTGAGCTGTGACACAGTGGCCCAAAGCAGCCAGCCATGGACAGCCATGGGCCAAGATCACTCCAGGCAGAGGGCACCACAAATGCTAGGGCCCTGCAGCAGGATCTCCGTGTTGGTAATGGAGCAGACATGGTCCGGTGCTCCTTCAGCACCTGCTGTTTCTCTAAGCCCTCAGAGAAGCTGCTCCGGTGCCAGGGCCTCTGCAAGCACAGCCCCGCTTATCCAGGAAGGCAGGAGCTTTCCAGGGTGTGAGTCCCCCTCCCAGAAGCCCCATGGCTAAGCCGGATCCGCGTGTCCTGGTTCCTGTGTGGCAGGGGTGAGCAGGCATCCTCCCTGCCTTCCCTCCCCAGGCTCTAGCCCCGGCCCCAAATCTCCATGGCAACCCCTAGACACAATCCTGGCCCAAAGGAGGAGCCCAAAGATCATGGTGAAGACACCAGAAGAGCTGGCAGACCCCGCCTCCCTTGCTCCTGTGTCCTGCCAGTGTCCCAGCTGGCTGCCAAGACCCCCACACCGCAGCATCCCTGAAGACCCCAAACGGAAGATTCCACAGGTCTGCCCCGCCCCTGGGCCCAGTGGAGCCCCGATGGAACTGGCTCTCCTGCCCCAGAGGCTGCTGCTGCTGCTGGGGACAGCCACCTTGGCTGTGTCTGACCTGCAGACAGGTAAGTACCTGGCTCCCATCCTCAGCGACCCGCATGGGCTGGGCCCCTGAGTGGGGAGGCTGTAAACCCTGTGGCTGGACTTGCTTGGCACCTCAAGTTCGCCCCAAACCCTTGTAGGAGGCCAGAGCACCAAGGCCCCCAGAGGCAGAGCCTGAGGGTAGGCTGGTCTTTGGGTCTGGAGATAAAACTTGTGGGCTCTAGAACAAGAACCCTGGGCCAAGGATATAGCTCAGTGGCACAAGCGCCTCCCTGGCAAGTGCAAGGTCCTGAGTTCGAGTCCTGGTACCAAAAGAAATGTAAAATAGAACAAGAACCCCACTCCTACCCTCACTGGCACGCTACTTCCTTGTCCTGAGATCACTGTCTCATTCACCTAAGCCTCAGTTTTCTCTGTAGTAAAATAATAATTGCTGGATATGGTGGTGTACACATGTAATCCCAGCACTCAGAAGGCTGAGACAGGAGGATCGAATTCAAGGCCAGCCTGTCTAGTGAGTTCTAGGCCTGCCTGAATTACATAGCAAGACCCTGTCTCAAAAAGACAAAAAAAAACAAAAAAACAAAAAAACAACAACCCGAATAATAACAGAAACTTGTCCCTCTGCTTTTTCTGTTTGTTTTGTTTTGTTGGGGTGTTCTGTTTTGTTTTGAGACAGGGTCTCACTGTGTGGTTCAGGTTGGCCTTGAACTTGCTATATAGCACAGCCTCTCAAACTCAGATTGATCCTTCTGCTTCCACCTCTTGAGTGCTGGGACACAAACGTGTACCATCATGCTCAGCATTTGGTGGTGTGCTACTTTTGGGATTGAACCTAGGGCGTTTTCATTGAGCTACAATCCAAACTTTTTTTTTTTTTTTGTCTTTTTGAGACAGGGTCTCACTATGCAGTTCAGGCTGGCCTTGACCTCGCTTTGTAGCCCAGGCTGGTCTCGAACTCACAAAGATCCTCTGGCCTCAGCCTCCCGAGTGCTGGGATTACAGGTGTGTGGGGACTATTGCTGTTGTGCATAATAAGGTGAAATAAATTATGCAAGATACTCTGACAGTGCCTGGCACAAAGGTGCCCAATTTGATTTACTCTAAATTGCTACCCTGCTGGGCATAGTGGCACATGTCAGCACTCTAGGAAGGGGAGGATTGAAAGTCTGAGGCCAGCCTGGGCGATTTAACAAGACCCTGTCTAAAAGAGGAGAGGGTGCTGGGGGTGTAGCTTGGTGGCAGAATGCCCAAGTTCAATTCTTAGCAATATGCATGCCGGAGCAGGCACAAGAAGAAAACCCACAAAACTCCTCCCTCCCCGTGGGCCTCTGGTCTGTACAAATATGGGAAATGCATGCATATCTTCTGTCCCAAGACAGGTTTCTCTCCTGAAGACCTGCACCTGCAGATCCTTAAGCACCCACTCATGCCCCTGCCTTGCCCCAGATAACCTCCCTTCTCTCTCTGTCCTTAAAAATTCAGAGCTAGTTTGGGCACTTATACAAGTCTACCAGTGCAGATGTTTTTAAGAAACAGATATCAAATTAATGACTTAAAGTATAATACTATGTATTGTTTCTTTCTTTCTTTCTTTCTTTCTTTCTTTCTTTTTTTTTTGCCTTTTGGAGACAGGGTCAGGCTGGACTTCAACTCACTTTGTAGCCCAGCCTGGCCTCAAACTCACAGTGATCCTCCTTCCTCAGCCTCCAGAGTGCTGGGATTACTGGCGTGCGCCACCACGTCCGGCCACTATGCATTATTTCTTTCTTTTCTTTTTTTTTGTACTGGGAATTGAACTCAAGACCTTGTGCTTGCCAAGCAGGCGCTTGCCAATCAGGCGCTTGTGCTGCTGAGCTATATCCTTGGCCCACTATACTGTTTTTTTTGTCTTCTGGTACTGGGAATCAAACTCATGACCTCACGCTTGCCAGGCAGGTGCTGTACTGCTGAACTAAATCCCCAGCCCAGATATGCATTATTTCTTTTTCTTTTCTTTTTTGTCTTTTTGAGACAGGGTCTCACTATGCAGTTCAGGCTGGCCTTGAGCTCACTTTGTAGCTCAGGCTGGTCTCGAACTCCCAATGATCCTCCTGCCTCAGCCTCCCAAGTGCTGGGATTACAGGCGTGCACAACTGCGCCCAGCTCAAAATTCAGTTCTTTTAGCAAGTAGAAACCCAATAGCTGTTGGGTGGGCAGGCACTCAAATATATTGCCTCACCCTTCAATAAGGTCAGAGTAGTTGCTGACTCTTCTATAGCACCCATTAAGTGCCAGGCACCATCCTAAACCTTGTACGGATCACAGTCACAGTCATTTGGGTAGCAATTCTAACACGCAGAGTACTTGGAAAAGCAACATTTGTTTTATTGGCAACAGGCCTTGGCCTCACCAGAGATTATTGCTGCTATTTGCTCACTTGGCTAACGCTCACACAATTGCTCCAGAGAGTGTTTCCTTTTAGGGTTTTGCATAATGTAGTGCACATACATCACATTTCTGAAATCTAGAAACCGCAAAACACATGGCTGTCCCCTGCCCGCAAAGGGGACCGAATCCAGTATTACAGACACCTCAGTTAGGTAGAAATAGAGTAGGCAAGCTGGACGTGGTGGCGCATGCCTCTAATCCCAGCACTCGGGAGGCTGAGGCAGGAGGATCGTTGCGAGTTCGACGCCAGCCTGGGCTACAAAGTGAGCTCAAGGCCAGCCTGAACTGTACAGCGAGACCCTGCCTCAAAAAGACCAAAAAAAAAAAAAAGAAAGGAAAAGAAATAGAGTAGGTGGTCAGACAGGGCTGGGTCCTCGAGGGAGTCAGCCCAGGAGAAAAGAAAGCATCAGGACTGTGGCTAGAGATGCATCTGAAGATTAAGGTCACAAGGACTAGTTTTCCATACTTTCCTAAGGGATGAACGGAAGTTTGGGATTATCAGTATCACCCTTTTGAGATTTCCCATTATTTCATTAGGGGAGGCCATCCTTTCCCACCCACCAAGACTAAGGACCACTAAATCTAAAGACAAGACTAAGACTACAGATGCCACCCATGTATGCTTGTTACCGTTAGATCAATAGTACCCAAACGACTATACTTGCAACTTTTTTTTTTTTTTGCTTTTTGAGACAGGGTCTTGCTATGCAGTTCAGGCTGTCCTTGAGCTCACTTTGTAGCCCAGGCTGATCTCCAACTTGCAACAATCCTCCTGCTTCAGCCTCCTGAGTGCTTGGATTACAAGTGTGTGCCACCACGCCCCCCTTATACTTGCAGTCTTATTTGATCATAATTTTGGCCCACGTTGTACCCACCTCATGATTTTGCTCTGTGAAACTTCCTTTGAGAGGTGGGGGCTCTTTGTGAGCCCATTCGGGATCCCTCCTGTCTCTCAGGAGCTATTCCTATTCCCCCTTCGCTCATTCCTATTCCCCATTCCTTTTCTCCCATAAATTTTCCTACTTTTAACCTCCTGTTCCTTAGAATTCATTGACTTTGGGGGACACAAACTCTGTGTATTTGACATCTAGTATTTCCTCTATATCACAGGACCTTCACACTGAGTTACATACTAGTCCCACAGTCCTTGAAAAAATTTTTTTTTAATTTTAAGATTTTAAAAAAGTTTGCAAAGCACTACATTGCTCAGATGGCGCTTAAATCTGAGATCTTCCTACCTCAGCCTCCTAGGGTGCTCAGATTACAGAGCAGCGCCACCACCCGGCCCAGAGTTTTTGAGTAAGAGATTGTAGTCTGAATTACATTAAATCACTGACTCATAAAAATCCTGAAATTGCTTAATTACTCCCATTTTACCCATGACTAAACAGAAGGAGGAAGAAAGGGGGACTCCACCACCCACACCCTGGGAACTGTGCAGCCCAGACTGAACGGAGGCTGGGGAGGGTGCGGGACTCGCGCGGGCCGGGGCGGGCGGGGCCGCAGCAGTGGCCGCTGACCCGGCCCGCGCTCTCCGCAGCCGACCTGGCGGAGCTGTGCGGGCGGACGTGGCACGGCGACGGGCTGCTGCTGCGCTCGCACGCGGCCTCGCGCAGGTTCTACTTCGTGGCTCCGGACACCGACTGCGGGCTCTGGCTGCAGGCGGCCGCCCCGGGCGACAGGATCCGCTTCCAGTTCAGCTTCTTCCTGGTCTACAGCCTGACCCGGGCGGCGGCGCCGGAGCCGGCGCCCAACGCCTCCGCCCCGGCGCCCGCAGACCCCTGCTCCCCCGGCTCCTACGTGCAGCTCTACGAGGGCCCGCCCGGGGCGCCGCGGCCGCTGGGGGCCCCTCTCTGCGGCCTCACTATCCCCGCCCCCGTGGCCTCCTCCGGACGCTTCCTAGGCCTGCGCCTGGTCACCAGAGGCCGCCAGCCGCGCGTGGACTTCGTGAGCGAAGTCACCTCTTTCCACTTGGGTGGGTTGGGCTGGAGTCCGGGCTGGGCCACGGTGCGGGCGCAGCACACCGGCCGCGGAGAGCCCAAGAGGGTGGAGGAGGAGGTGGAGGCAGGCGCAGGGCTGGGGGTGGTCAGAGTGAGGGGCCTTCAGACGCAAAGAGCCTACCCCATGAATCCCGCCTCCACGGATGTGTGTCCCAGCCTGCTGCCCCCTCAGCCAGGCACACACACACTCACGGGCACACCCACGCACGTGCACACCTCCCACGCGAGCATCCACACACAAACTACATACAACTCACACCTCCCACACTCACCACTTACCTCTCACACACCTCACACACCGCACACCCGCAATTCGCATCACGCGCACCTGATGTGTTCAGTGCACCTTGCATACTTGCACGTGACTCACCCATGTCCGGCCAGCCCTTCAGAAGGGCACGGCCAGGGCTCTGGGAGGTGAGCTACAGAAATCCCCGAAGGCAGGATTTGAACGACCCCGGTTATGAAGCGTTGCCCCGGTCCGTGGGTGCACAGCAATTCTGCCTGCTGGGGTTGGTACCCTCGGGTTTGCAGAGGGGGAAACTGGGCAAGGGATGCAGTGCCAGAGCCCCCCTGCTCCTAAGTGAAGGGGCCGTGTCTGATACTGGAGTGACAGTGTTCTGCAGCTCAGCCTGTGCAAGGCTTTGGCCCCAACAGATCCCTAGGACTGGGCTGTTTGTCGCATCGGAGGTGTCTCCAATCATGGTGAGCAGGTGACCTTCCAAAGCCCAGAAGATTCCAAAATCACGAGAAGCTCAATCAACAATTTTTTTTTTTTTTTTTTTTTTTTTTTTTTTGGGAGAGAGTCTTGCTCTGCAGTTCAGGCTGGCCTGGAACTCACTATGTAGCCCAGGCTGGCCTCAAACTCTCAGCAATCCTCCTGCCTCAGCCTCCCAAGTGCTGGGATTGCAGGTGTGCACCACCACACCTGGCTATTATTATTATTACTATTTTTTTTGATACAGAGTCTCTATGTGTAGTTCAGGCTGGTCTTGAACTTACTAGGTAGCCCAGACTGGTCTTGAATTTGAGGCCCTCCTCCTGCCTCAGCCTCTTGAGTTCTGGGATTACAGGCCTGCGCTACCATGCCTGGCTCTCAGATGTCCTTTCTTTTTCTTTTTGGGGGGGAGGGGCGGTTTCCAGCACTGGGAATCAAACTCACGACCTTGCGCTTGCCAGGCAGGCACTGTGCTACTGAGCTAAATCCCCAGCCCTCAGGTGTCCATTTCTGTGGCCAGGAGTTAGAATGGTGTGATTGGCCTAGCCTGAGCCATGCCATTGGTCAGTCCCACTTGACCTAGCTTTTGCTCACTGCATGGAATTCTGGGTAAGCCAAACTGTCTGCCAACCCCTTGGGCGCTGAGTGTGTGTGATTCTTTCACATGTGTGCATACTCACTTGCTAACAAGTGTTAGTTGAGCACCCGCATTGTGTGAAGAGGGGCATAGCAGTGAACAAGAGGGAATTTCTTGGGGGCTAGGGATTTAGCTCAGCAGCACAGCACCTGCCTGGCAAGTGCAAGGTCATGAGTTTGATTCCCGGTACCAAAAAAAAAAAACAAACCCAAAAAAACAAGAGGGAACTTCTTTCTGGGGGAGACAGGCCATGAGCAAACAATCAAGCCGCTCCTGTTCTGCAGGTGGTGGTCAGTGTTGCCAAGGGCCAGAGACAGGGCAGTGGGGGGCAGGCAGGGAGTTGGGCCCCGGGCAGGAGCCTTCTGAGCTCACTCACTGGTGCAGACCCACACACGTGCCGCTAGGTGTCATAGCCTGCCTGGGGCTGGTCCCAGCAGTGTGGCCATACTCCGGTGCCAGCTGCCCTGGGCTTTGTGGTCTCCCTGGATTAATTACAGTGTTTACGCCCTCAGGTTATATTGTTTCATTGCTCCGTTCCGTCCCAGAACTTGTATCATCTTCATCCTTATCACCCTCGTGAGCTGACCTCAAAAGCACTGTCTACACTGGGCATGGGGGTGTACGCCTGTAATCCCAGCACTCTGGAGGCTGCGCCAGGAGTTCAAGGCCAGCCTAGGCTACATAGCAAGACAGCCCCCTGTCTCAAGACAAGCATGCAAACCAACCCCAACAGAAAAAGCCCCTGTCCCCAAACTCGCTGGCTGGCAGTCCTCTCCTGCTCCCTTCCCACCTCCTCTCCCCACTGGGCCACACATCTGGTTGTGTCACGGGCTCATGCAGGATCCTCATCCCAGGCTTCCCCTTTCTACCCCAGGATCCTGTGGTGCCTACTTCCACTGCCAGAACGGCAGGTGCATTCCCCCAAGCCTGGTGTGTGACCCCTGGGGCATGGACAACTGCGGGGATGGCAGCGACCAGGGCTCCTGGCCACCAGCCAGCTGCAGAGGTCAGTGATGGTGCATTCTGGGCCCTACTAACAGCCAAGGAGAGTCACTCTGTCTGCCCTGCCCAAGGCAAGAGGCAGAGGTCCAGCGTGGAGCAAGGGGGAAGGGCAGCATTGGGCAGTCGGTTTAGACCGGAAGCTGAGGCTCAGAGCGCTCAGGGCTACAATGATGTGTGTGGACCTGGTCCAGCTGTGGCAGAAACTGTCTTCCAACGGCACGTGGCTCAGGGGCTGAGGGCATCGAAAGCATAGGTGCTTTGCTGAACTAGACTTGCTCAGGGTCATAAAGCCATTGAAGAACAGGAGCAGGGATGGACTCCATAAAACCAGAATAACCTTTCTGGGAATCTGAAAATCCCCCATCTTCCTCAACCCCCAACCAGGAGTAGGATGGAAGCGGGCATCGTAGGGCACCATGTAATGTCAGTATTTGGAGGCTGGTGCAGGAGGGTCACTTCAAGTACAAGGCCAGCCTGGACTGCATACTGAGACCCTGTCTCAAAAAGACAAAAACAAAAACCTCCAGGAAAACAAAAAACAAAACTAAGCAAACACAAGGAGTGGGCTGGAGGAGGGCAGGACTGCTAGGTGTGGTTGTACATGTTGTTCACTGCAGAAAAGCAGCTAGCTGTGGTGAAACCCAGCTACCCAGAACCCTATAACTTGCCTCCTAAGCCACTTTTCATGTTTCCTTGCAGGTTTCTGGTTATTTCTCTGAAATTCAGTTCTTTGTGCCCTGAGGCTCAGGGCCTGTGTCCCCTTGTCTGTCCATGCTTATCCTCTTGGTGGTCCCATTTCGTCTTGCTGGCTGGACCTGCCTGAGAGCTCTGCTCCCATAACTCGCTGCTGCTGGGCAGCTGGCCGTGGCTTCTTAAACTTTACTTGCCCCAAACTGGCTCCCGATCGCTCCACCCCAACCCTCCCTCGGCCACCTCCCCCGTCTGGATGAGCAGCCCTGGCTCCCACTGGTTGAGTCACCCTCTGCTCCTTTGATACTCACAGCCTGCACTGACGCCACCAAGTCCGTGGAAGGTTCGCAGCCCTGAGCCTTCCCCCTGCGGCTCAGCTGCCATCTGGCCTGAGCGCCGCCACTCTTGTCTGGATTATTTTGGTAACTTCTTGTCTCCTGGCTTCTGCTCCTGCATGCTTCCCCCACAGAAGTCCAGAGGAGCTTTCATTTTCTTTTTTCCTTCTAATAACTTTGATTTTTTAGCGCAGGTTTTTCCCCCCACTTGGTACTGCACTGAGCTACATCCCCAGCCCCTTTTTATATTTGCTAAATTGCCCAGGCTGGGCTGGAACTTACAATCCTTCTGCCAGAAGGCTGGGGTCACAGGTGTGAGTCACACGTCCAGCTAGTTACCATGTCTTTAGGCTCCTCTTGGCTCTGGCCATTTCTCAGGATTTCTTTTTTGAGACAAGGTCTCACTATGTAATTCAAGCTGGCCTTGAACTCATTAGGTAGCCCAGACTGTAGCCCAGGCAGCCTCAAGCTCTTGACCATCCTCCTGCCTCAGCCTCCTGAGTGCTGCGATTACAGGCATGTGCCACCACACCCAGCCCAAAGCTGTTCTTTAGAGCTCTTCTCCTCTCTCTTTCTCCTCTCAGTGGGTCTCTGCTTAACTCTTCTTCGGGAAGTTATTTCCTGACCCCTTTACATGAAAGTGGCTCCCAGCATGCGGGAGGCTGAGGCAGGAGGATCACTGCAAGTTTGAGGCCAACCTGGGCTACATAGTGAGCAGCCCAGCTGGAGCTACAAAGTGAGTTCAAAGGCCAGCCTGAACTGCATAGTCTCAAAAAGACCAAAAAATAAATAAACAAATAAAAAGATTCTGCCTGTGTGAAAATGGCAATCTAGACCCCACCTACAGTTCAATGCATAAACAAAATCTGATCTGTCCAAACAATAAAACACTGGAGCCAGGCATGCTTAGCACATGCTAAGTGAGATAGGTTGATTATAAAAGGACAAACAGCCGAGCACAGTGGTGCATGCCTGTGATTCCAGTACTCTGGGGCTGATGCAGGATGATCACAAGTTCGAGGCCAACCTGGGCTACATAGTGAGTTCAAAGCTTCATAGCAACACCCTCTCTCAAAAAACAAACAAACATTGTGAGTCTGCTTACCTGGTGTGATAAAAAAATATGATGAATACTTAAATTTAAAAAACTTATACAGGGGTGCTGGGGATTTAGCTCAGCGGCACAGCGCCTGCCTGGCAAGCGCAAGGTTGTGAGTTTGATTCTGGGTACTAGAAAACAAACAAACAAACAAAAAAAAAAAACAAAAAAACTTATACAGGAAAAGACACACTGACATTTCTCCCCCTCAAAACAACCCTCCCCCCAAACATACTATTCCTTTCTGAAACAGTTCTGGAAGTTTTTTTTTTTTTTTTTTTTTTTTGAGACAGAGTCTCAATATGCAGTTCAGCCTGGACTTGAACTCACTATGTAGCCCAGGCTGGCCTCAGACTCAAGGCAATTCTCCTGCCTCAGCCTTCCAGAATGCTGGGATTACAGGCCTGCAGCACCACAGCCAGCTTGGAAGTTTTATTTTGTGGGTGTCTTTAGTTGCACTGTCCTAGGTGCCTTGATGTCTTAAATTTTTTTTTTTTAGTGCTGGGAGTTGAACTCAGGACCTTCTGTTTGCCAGACAGGTGCTTGCAAGGCTGAGCTGTATCCCCCGCCTAATATCTTGAATTGATTCAAAATGTTTCCCTTTCAAGGTCATTTTGACTTTGGGGAACAGCCAGAAGCTGCAGAGTGCCAGATCTGATGAATAAGTAGACGAAGACACACTGTAGCGTTACCTTGGAAGGCACTCAGTAGCAACGTTCAAGTATTTCTTTAATCACATCTCATAAAGACACTGATGAAGCCGAGTGAGACTCCCATCTCAAAAAGAAAAAAAAAGAAAAGAAAGTGGTAAGACAGCCAGGTGTGGTTATGCCAGCACTCAAGAAGCTGAGACAGGAGGATCACTGAGAACGCGGGGCCAGGCTAATCTACGTATCGATACCCTGTCTCACCCCTGCTGCCACACCCTAAAAAAGAAAGAAATGGTAAAATGGTGGTAGTGCACACCTGTAATTCCAGCATTCTGGGAGGCTGACACAGGAGGATGATGTTTGAGCCCAGCCTGGGCAATTTAGTAAAATCTAGGCTCAAAATGAAAGGGCTGGGGATATAACTCAATGCAAAGGCTCTTGGTTCAATCCCCAGTACCACACACACACACACACACACACACACACACACACAGGTTTTTTGTTTTTTTTTTTCTCTTTTGAGACAGAGTCTCGATATACAGCACAGGCTGGCCTTGAGCTCACTTTGTAGCCCAGGCTGGTCTCAAACTCACAAAGATCCTCCTGCCTCAACCTCCCGAGTGCTGGGATTACAGGCGTGTGCCACCATGCCCAGCTCACACACACACACACACACACACACACACACACACACGGAGGTTTAAAAGGCTAATATTCTTTTCCCATAATAATTAGCAACTCCACCCCTACCCCACCTGCCCTGTCCCTTATCCAGCCTAAGTTTTGCCACAGCACCAGACCCATTTGACATGTTGATGTGTTTTGTTTCCTCACATTACACTGAGGGTTACACAGACATTTTCATATACCTTGCTCATGGCTGCATCCTTCAGCCACTGGAGAACTGATATGTGGCAGATTCCTGAGAAATACTAGTCATATGAGTGGCACAATGAGCCTCTCTATGCCTCAGTTTCCTCACCTATAAAATGGGATGACATACCTCAACTTTTTTTTTTTTGTCTTTTTGAGACAGGGTCTCGCTATGCAGTTCAGGCTGGCCTTGAGCTCACTTTGTAGCCCAGGCTGGTCTCAAACTCTCAATGATCTTCCTGCCTCAGCCTCCCGAGTGCTGGGATTACAGGCATGTGCCACCACGCCTGGTTTAAGATTCTTTTTTTTTTGTTACCAGGAATCAAACTCGGGACCTTGTGCTTGCCAGGCAGGCACTTGTGCCACTGAGGTAGCTCCCCTGCCCCATACCTCAGCTTTTAAGGTGTGGTAAACTGTACACAAAACACTGCAAGTGGAGAGCTTGGCAGGCAGAAAATGCTCAATGTGTGTATGTACACCCCCTTTCTCAAGAAATAGCTGCAGTAAAAACCCTGGGACCTGAATCTGTACTGGATGGGTTCAAATCCTCTTCTAACTTCCAGTTGTGTGACCCTGGTGAGAGACTTAACCTGTGTTTCCCTTCCCTTATGTGTAAAGTGGAAATACTGACACAGAGGTTTTGAAGGTTAAATGAAGCAGACGTGCCCAGGAGGGACAGTACCCAGCGTGTTGGTCCTGTTACTGCAGGTCCCCCTCTGCCACCCAGCCAGGCAGGGAGCACAGACGACTCCTCCAAGCCCCAGACTCTCTCCACGGCTCTGGGTTCCGCGGGGAGTGCAGTGGAGAGGAGGCCCCCGGCAGGCTGGGACCCCGCTCAGCAGGAGGCAGCTCTGGAAGGTAGATGGCTCTTGGCAACACGCTGCTCCTACTCTTCCCACCCCTGACCGGGTGATGGGAGCGTGGCCGGGCCAGGCTGAGGCTGAGTGGACCCTTTTCTTCCCCAGGCCCCGGGCTGCATGCTGCGGCGCTGGCCTCCTTGCTGCTCCTGGCCTCAGCCGGCCTCCTTGTGGGCCTGCTTTGGTGCTGCTGCTCTTCGGGCTGGGCGGCCAGGCAACCGGGTGCCCGAGACCTGTGCCTCAGATACGGTGCAGTCTGCAACATCTGCTACCCATGTCCTGGCCGCGTGGCCCCTGGGGAACTCCGGGGGCAGGGCCCAGCTTTCCAGGACCAGGGAGGCCTTCGGGAGACCGGGCTCTGACCGCCTGGCCTCCCACGGTCACTTAACTCTCGGGGTCTCACGATGCCTCTCTGGGAAATTGGACAGCTCCTGCCTCAAGCCATGGTAAGGGTTGCGGAGGCAAAGCACACACAGGGCCCGGTCCCGTGGCAGCGCTGGGGCTATCACTCGGCTGGGTCAAGGACAGGACAGTGCGACCCCCGTGCCCAGGGCAGGGCGCGGGCGCCTCGCTTCACACCTGGACCTCAGCAGCCAGCTGTGTCTCCGGCCAGCCTGCCCTCCAGTGCCACCGAGTCAAATCCCAAAGAGGCACAGCAGACTCCCGGCGGGGATAGCACCGTTTATTAGGAAGAATCAAGACAAAGACCACAGGAGGGTCCCTGCTGGGGCCCGAGGCCAGGCATCCCAGTGCCAGAGTATGGGGACGGCCGACCACTGGGTCCTCGGGCTGTCACCCCCCACTTCCTCCCAGTCGGGGTCTCAGGCGTCCCCACCCGAAGGCACTGGCTCTTCCTGACCACCAGCTCCTCCACGTCCCTGGGCCTTCACCTCCAGAAGAGTGAGGGGTGTGGCCAGGTGTGGGCTGAGCCCTCGGTGTGGGTGCTCCAGGGAGGAGTGGGGGCGGGACCCTGGGCGGTGGGAGGGTGGTGGGAAGGGGGGGCTCTGCCAGGGGTGGTGGCCTGCGCTGGGTGGAGGTGGCGGCTGGGAGGGGCTGGCAGGGAAAGGGTGAGCTGCCTTCTGCTCTACAAGGGGCGCTAAAGACTTTTCCAGCCGACTGGTAGGTGGCAAGGCCCTGTGACGCCCCTTAGGCAGTCAGCTGGGGGGCACCAGGTGGTGAGCTCAGCTGGTCCTCAGGAAGCAGGGCTACCCAAGGGCTTCCCCAGTGGGCAACCCAGTTCTACTTTCGGGGGCTCCATCAGGGCAGGAGGAGTTGGGATACATCTGGGCGCACCAGCCACTGTCCCCGACCTCAAGTCTTGGTGGCTTTCTGAGTGAGGCAACAGACCCTCCCACCCGCCTTGCCCACTGGCCTCAGGGCCTCGCCACACACGTGAGAGGCTGGCACGCCCACCCTCCAGTCCAGCCCAGGGCAGTAGCAGCAAAGCGTGGCATTGCCTCAGTTTCTTACAAAAAACTCATAATAATAATAAAATATTAATAATAATATACTCGACACTGTCAGGCTGGGCGCGGCCCGGAGTCCATTGGGAGCAGGCAGGTGCCTATGAGGGGCAGGGGCGTGTGTTGGCCCCAGCCTGGGCGCGGTGCTGCAGGTCCAGGGGCTGGGGTGGGGGGGCGCCAGGCCCAGCTGAGTGCAGCACCAGGTTCTTGATACAGCCGGTGATGCCCGAGGAGAACCTGCCTCCAGTCAGTGTGGCCACGTCCGGGGCTCCGCCTGCAGGCAGGGGAGCGAGAACGCCGGTGGGTGTCAGAAGCCCAGGCCGGGCCAGCTGTGCGGGACCACCATGGCCTCTCCCTGCCCTCGGCAGGCTCCTGCCCACCCCAGGCTGGCACAGGACTTACCGATGTACACGTTGCCCTTGGTGTTGACCGCTACGTTGGGGCCTGGGGACTGGCCGCTCACCAGCTCCTCGCCGTCGACCCGGATGGAGCCTCTCCGGCCCTCTCTGCAGTGGAGCTGGGTCAGGCCCCCCGCCCAGCCCACATTCTTGTCCTCCCAGCCCACCCCTGGGATCCACCTCCTTGGCACGGAGACTCTGGACAGACGAGCCAGGCCCTGCTCCCTGCGGTCCTTCTCTTTCCCCTCTGGGTGATGGGCCTGGCCCTGCAGACCCAGCTCTGAGCCACCCCCACCCTCGTTTCCCCAGCCCTGCAGGGTGTGCTCAGGGCCTGCAGTTCTGCCCTGACCACAGAGCTCCTCCAACCCCAACTTCCCCCTCTGTCTCACAGAGCTCAGCGCCCTCCCCCTGCCCTCCCCCTAGTCCTTCTCCCAGATGCCCGGCCTGTCTCTCTTACCGCAGCACTGTCACCCGGTGCCACTCGCCGTCGTTGACAGGGTCCTCAGAGACTAGGCGGGCCTCCCCGCTGCCCAGCTGGTAGCTGGAGGAACAGAGGCCGAGCAGGTGTGAGCCGGGCAGGACTGGTGGTGTGGGGCACCGAAGGGGATGTGTGGCTGGGGCACTGGCAGGGGCAGCTTCTCACGGGAGGAGCCAGGGAAGGGGGAGGAAGGCAGGGTGCCAGGGCCCACCTGAAGACGAGGTGGCCGTCCTGCAGTCCAAGGCCGATGAAGTCCTTTCCTCGGCTGGCCTTTCCCACCTCCTGCCAAGGAAGGAAGCACAGGGGGGTCTCTAGGCCCCCAGCTTGCAGAGCTGAGGTCCCCGATGCTGTAGCCTTCACCTTCCTCTCCCTGCCCTTGGCCAACAGCAGGCCAGACCCCCGCTCCAGGGAGCCCGAGACCCTGCACCTGGTGTCCACTCACCGCGCCCTGCCAGAGTAGCAGGCCGTTGGCCGTGCTGGTGCGAACTTCCATCTCGACAGTCTCAGGCACTTCGGGCAGGCTGGAAGGAGGGGTGTGTGAGTGGACCGAGGTCTCAGATTCCTGCCCTCCTAGACCTAGGCACAGACTTTGCAACCAAGGCCGGTCTTACCTCCTGGAGAAGACGTGGCCGGGGAGGGCTAGGAAACCATCGTCATGGAAATAGGCTCCGTACTGCCCGGGAGCATCTGCGGGAGGAGGAGGGGAGACACCTGCTCGATGGCCTAGGCACAGTCCCCAGGGCATTCCCTGGCCCCCATCTCCACTCCCCTATGGGGGCCCTGAACCTGTGGTTCCTGGGTACTGTCCCAAAGGGGCCGCCAACTGAATGCATGGGCCTTGAACTTGGATGGGAAAACTTGTCTATTTTCACTCATTTCTCACTGACATTTAGCAGCGCCTTCAATTATGGACATCAGCAACCAACCAGAGTAGCAGCAGCAGGGACTGTGACTCTGTCCCTAGTATTTGTCTAGCACATTGTAGTAGTTGCAAGTATTTCAAAGTATTGCTTACGCTCATGATTTATTTACTATGCTAATAAAGAAGTGCCTATATTAGAAATCTAAAAAAAGTTTTGTGGTAATTTTTTTTGTTTTTGTTTTTGTTTTTCCGGTACCGGGAATTGAACTCACGACGTCGTGCTTGCCAGGCCGTGTGGTAATTTTATTATTCCAGTCTTACCGGTTTCCTTTGAAATCCTATATCTCTTATTTTATACAGTTCTTTGGATCCATGGCTGTCTCTGTCCCTGTCTGCCATGTTCCCTTAGCTTTATTTTATTTTATTTTATTTTGTCTTTTTTTTTTTTTTTTAAGTACCGGGAATTGAACTCAGGACCTTGTGCTTGCCAGACAGGTGCTTACGCCACTGAGCTATATCCTCAGCCACCCTCCCCACTTTTTTTTTCTTTTTGAGACAGGGTCTCGCTATGTTGTTCAGGCTGGTCTTGAGCTCATTTTGTAGCCCAGGCTGGTCTCAAAATTGCAATGATCCTCCTGCCTCAGCCTCCTTAGTTTTATCTCTGAGAGTCCTGAGCAAATAGGGACATCTGGTCACCTTGGGCCCTGGCAATCAGGTTCAGAGCCCAGGCTTTGCCTCTGTCTCATGGAGGCAGAGGGGGAGACAGGCTCAGCAGAAGTACCCAGGATCATGACCTGGGCCTTTCAGCCCAATGTCCACACTGTGTGGCTGCATCATCTCTACTACCACCTGCTCATGGCCCACCCCACAGGCCAGTATGGCCATGGGTGGCTTGCCAGCTGCAAGAGACACTCAGCCACTTTCCACCAGTTTCAGTAACTGCTAACATTTACCATGTATCTGCTATGTGCCTTTGCAGGGAACTTTTCATTTAGCTACAAGTTTCATTTAACTGAATCCTTGTAACAATCCAATGAGTTAATTTTATCCAAAGCCTTATGGATTAAAAACCTTATGCTGGATCTCCATTTAATTACATTGGAAAACTGAAGCACAGAGAGGTTAAGTGACTTACCCAAAGTCACACAGTAAGTGGCAAGGCCCAGATCTGAACCGAGGCAGGCTGGCTTCAGAGTCCATGCTCTTAACTACTACACAGTATTATGGCCTCTCCCATTGTATTAATGATGAGAACCATGGATCTATAAAGGGCTTAACACAGTACCTATAAATGTTCAACAAACATTCACTATTATTTTTACTTATTTTTGTGTACTGGGGATTGAACCCAGGCCCTCATACATGTTAGTAAGCACTCTACAACCTACTCTACGTCCTTGGTCCTTTTTGTGTATGTGTGTGGTACTGGGGACTGAACGAAGGTCCCTCACACTAAGCTACCTCCCCAACCCTTTTTAAATTTGTGTGTGTGTATGTGTATGTGTGTGTGCACATGTGTGTGTTTCTGAGATAGGGTCTCGCTATGTAGTTCAGGCTGGCCTTGAACTATGTGGGCCAGGCTGCCCTCAAATTCATGGCGATCCTCCTGCCTCAGCCTCCCAAGTGCTGGGATTTACAGACATGCGCCATGATGCCTGGCTCTCCTTTATTTAACTTTTATTGTAAGACAGGGTCTTGCTAAGTTGCTAAACTGCCTAGGCTACCCTGGAACCTAGGATCCTCCTGCTTCAGCCTCCCAAGTACTAGGATGACAGGTATGCACCACTATACCTGGCATCTTTCTTTTCTTTTTTTTTTTTTGTCTTTTTGAGACAGGGTCTCACTATGCAGTTCAAGCTGGACTTGAGCTCATTTTGTAGCCCAGGCTGGTCTCAAACTCACAACGATCCTCCTGCCTCAGGCTCCCAAGTGCTGGGATTACAGGCCTGCGCCACCACGCCTGGCTTTATTTTCATTTTTAAACAGACAGTAGAATCCTAGAGAGTGAGAGTCCTGCTTGTTCATTTTGTATTTACTGCTCCCAGGGCAAAGCTGGACACACACGAGGTGTCTGTTGATTGGATGAGTGCAGGAGACTGAGGTCAGAGTGGTACAAAGAAGTCCTCAAGGTCACTTTGGCAGTGAACCTGGGGCAGGACCCAGCTGTGTGCGGCTGTGCTTTTCTTTCTTCTGCCTGTCTGCACCCAGAAAGCCCCTTACCTGGGCCTTTTTGCTTAGAAGCTAGAGCTAAAGTGTGGGTAATCAGAAGAGAAGGATGACAGGCTGAGACCATGGAGCAGACCGAAGCCACAGGGCCATGGCAGGTACGTACCGTTGCCCCCACTGCCCTCGAGATGCCAATCAGACTCCGCTGTGCCGTGTCCAGCACCTGTGGGGAAGGGTGGGTGCCGTTGGTGGGATGAGAACCCCGGGGGAACTTGTGCAGCCCCAGGACCCCTGAGGGAGGTGAAAGGAAGCCAGGCGTGGGTACCTTGTTGGCAGCGTGAGCCAGAGAAGCCAGGGGGGCAGAGGCAGTGGGTGCCCTGGCAGGTGCCCCCATGCAGGCAGGGCTCACGGAGCCGGCAGGGGTTCTCCTCATGCTCACAGAGGTCTCCTGTAGGCCAGGGAAGAGGTGGGTGTGTGGGCAGGGGCTGGAGGTGCCACCAACCACCTAAGCCAGCTCTACAGTGACAGCTGGCATTCCGCTGGTACCGAGCCTCTGAAATGGGCAGTGAGGTGGGCAGGGGTCCCCGAGTCCTGGGCCAGCTTTGCTCTCGTACCTTTGAAACCATCTCGACACAAGCACTGGAACTCATACTCGCCAGCAGGCATGCACGTGGCGCCATTGCGGCATGGCTGGCGCTCGCAGGGGGAGCTGTCGTAGCACTGCCCGATGCCCTGGCTGCCCAAGAAGCTGTAGGTGAGGTCCAGGCGCTTGCCATTCACAGACACCTGTGGGTGCAGGGACACCGAGGGGCTCAAGGAGTGCCAGGGGAAGAGGCTCAGTGTGCCAGCGGAGAAGAACGCGACAGGGTGGGGGTGCCTGGGCACTCGGGCAGGAGCCTGAGCGGTGACAAGGGATCCTCAGTGTGGGAGGAAGGTGCAGAAGTTGCGCACCTACTGTGTGCCAGCTCTCAGCACCCCCTGCCCAGGAGCTGCTATCATTTGCACTTTATGGAGAGGAAACAGAGGCTCGGTCAGGAGGTGAGGATCCCAGGGTCCTGGCAAGTGTCAGGCCGCGGCAGTTTGCCCCCAGCCCCCTCTGGTCCCCTGGCGGTTGCTTCTCACCTCGCCCACACAGCCACGGAAGTGAGCGCTCACGTTGGCGGCGGGGGACAGTGGCACAGAAGGCTCCACGCCACCCAGGTAGAGGAGGGTGTGCAGGTTGAGGCCCTGGCTCTTGCCCGGTGAGGAGCGCAGCACTGGGCGCCCCCCGTTCACCCGCAGGCTGCCGTCCTTGTTCTGACGCTCTGCAGATATGCGGTGCCAGCGGCCCAGGGCCAGAGGCTCGGGGCTCCGCAGGACAGCCAGCCCTGAGGGCACAGCGAGAAGGGTGAGGCACCTGGGGGAACCTGGCCCTGACCTGCACCCCCGCGACTTGAGCAGACAGGGAACTTCCCCAGTGAGGGGCCCACCGCCAAAGGTCTGGTCAGCCACACAGGGACGGTGTGGAGGAACGGACTTCAGGGGGTGTGGCTGCTGGATTTATCCCTTGGTGCCTCCCTGGGGATGGAGAGCCAAGGAGGGCACAGCCGAGCACCCAGACACCCATGTGCCTCTGGTGCCCAGTGCCTACCTGACCCCAGCTCGTAGCGGAACTCCAGGTGGCCACCAACCATCGCCAGGGACACGAAGTCCTCCACAGGCCCGATCCTCCCCCCGCTGAACAGCAGGATCCCATCAGGCTCCAGGGGCTTGAACTCAACATCCAGCCGTAGCTCGTGGTGTGTGTTGGTGAGGGCAGGGAGCGCCAGGTAAGAACCAGTGCCCGACATGGATGGGGTGGTCACTGTCACACCTGCAGCAGGCACAGCTCAGCCAGGGGCAGTGGCGGCCGAGGGGTTCTGGGAAGGACACAGCTACGCAGTCTCCCCTGGGACCCCTGCCCTCTGCACTCCCCATTTCAGAGGCTCAGGACCAGCTGGATGCCAGCTGTCACTGCCCAGGAGCCCCTGGCCTGGCTCTTCGGGTCAGGCTGTGAGTGCCTCCAGCATGCTGGGGCTCGCTAGGGGGGCCTAACATAAGGGATTCAGGCTGGCAGAAGGGTGGACAGGTGATTTTGAGATCTTCCAGCTTCAGAACGACTTTATCGCTTGTAGGGCCTACCATGGGCTCTGAGTGCCCTGCCCAGCCTCTCTAGCTGTCACTGAGTCCCTGGGGGTCACACTCTACATACCTTCCTCACACCTCTCCCCTGAGCGGCCCAGGTGGCAGCGGCAGGTGTAGCCTCGACCATCGGGCCGGTTCACACAGGTGGCGTCGGGCCCGCAGGCCTCTGGGTGGCACAGGGGTCAGTGAGGAGGACAAGGAGGCGACTTGGGGGGGACAAGGATGCCTACGCCCTGCCCATTGCAGATGGCCAGCCTAGGAGGTTTTCCCGGGAGCAAGACGCCTGCATGGGACAGCCAGGTGCATGAAGCGTGACTGTGTGTCTGGTACTGCTTACGACTGCACCTAGGCAGCGGCGTGGGCTGAGGGCCAGCTGGGTAGAAGATGGGAAGGTGGCCGGGACCCGGGGGGCAGTGCCTGGGCTGGGTGAGAGCCTGGTTGGCCGTGGTGGGGGAGCTTCCAGCTCTTGGGTAAGGGTGATGGGGTGCGGAAGGACCCCAGCCACCGCGGGGGAACTGACACACGAAAGGGTGACACCCATGGAGACAGTGACTGGAGGTTGGGGACACACCTGGGTGGCAGTGCAGGGCCTGCGAGTGCTCACAGCGGCTCCCGGTGAAGCCGGACGGGCAGATGCACACATAGCTGCTGCTCTCCGAGTCGTGGCACTGGCCTCCATTCTGCAAAGCAGCCGCCAGAAGTCAGGCCAAGGACACCCGGCCCTCCGTCCCCCCAGGGCCAGCCATAGCTCAGCCAGCTGGATGTGTGGGCAGGGGCCCACCTGGCATGGGCGGTCCTGGCAGGTGGGGCAGTGGGAGATGCCGTGCGCCGTGAGGTTGAGGTCATGGAAGACGATCTCCTCGCCCTGGATGCGCAGCTCCCGGACACAGCCTGGGGGGCAGGTGGGTGGGGTGAGCAGGGGGCAGGGCTGTGCAGAGCCTGCCGGCCCCAGCCCACACCCTGCAGTGCCCATCCAGCTCGGTCAGAAGGGAGGTGGGAGAGCCTCACCCACGAAGCCACTGCTCAGCCCTGCCTTGGGGATGGCACCGTAGTCGGGGTAGCCACCCAGGTATAGCTCCTCATTCAGGTCCAGGCCCTGGAACTTGCCCTGGGGAGGTGGGGCGGGGGTCAGGAATGGCAGACACGTGGGAAAGGGGACTAGGAACAGGGGACAGGGTCGAGTCTCACCTGGGAGGTCCCATTCACTGGGGCCAGGCTGCCCACGATGAGGGAGCCCTGGGTGAGGCTGCGCAGCAGGGTTACCGTGTGGAACTGGCCCAGGGCCAGTGGGGTGGGGTGGCGGATGGTGGCCATGCCAGAGCCCGCATCGAACCTGTTCCACGGGGCAGGACAGGAGCAGGAAAGAGTAAATACGGGGGTTGTAATACGGGCTATGGAGGGGCTCAGCCTGGGTGCCAGGGTGCCAGAGGATGTCACTATGTCCAGTTCCTGTCCCTGTCCCTGCCCTGTCCTCCTCCATCACCTGCCCAGTGCAGCCCACCCCTGCCTCTTCCCTAGACCTTCCCTCCCTGCCCCACAGGGTTTGAAGACCCCGGACTCAGGGCGCTGCCACGGGGCACCTGGCTTTACTGCTCCTCGGTTCCCCCGTCTCCGAGATGACCCTGCTTTCCTTTGTTTATGGCTTGAAGCCCCAGCTGCAGGCCACAACCCCACGAGGCCAGAGGTCGACCTGTTTTATTTATGCCTGTGTTGGTGCCTGGCACGTGGTAGCCATGCGTTCAGCGAACAAATGAATCCGACCTGCAGCGGAGCCCAAGTGTTTGGTACCTCCCTCCTTTGCCTAGCCGACAGTGCCACGTCTACTCCAATAGACTGGCGGTCACCAAGGGTGATGACCACATCTCCTCTTTCCTCAGGTACTGCCCTTGTGCACCTTGCTAATGTCCCGCCTGTCCCTCTCCTGCAGACCAGGAGGTTGAGGGTCTCACCGGAACTCGGGTCTGCCGCCCACGAGGCCAAAGGAGATGAAGTCCGGCTGCCTGCTGGCCAGGTTGGGGGGGCTCCCCGGGCCCCGCTTCTGCCCATTGTACAGCAGCATCCCTGGACGGGCACAGCTCAGTGAGGGCCTCCTCCAGCCACAGGCTCCCTGCCACCCCCGCCCTCTGAATGACCCAGGCTCCCGAGTCTTTTTGCTCCAACTCTGGTCCCTCCCTTGGACACACCTCAGGTGACCAGGGACCTCTCTGATCTCAGGGACCTTGCTGAGAGTCCCGAGACAGAGACAGAGCGGCTTCGTACACACGCCGGGAGCTGCCTAAGGAGGTGAGGGAGGCAGAGACTCACCCGAGTAGAGAAGGAGGCCTGGACAGTGCAAGCCAGAGAGCCATAAGAGATGAGAGAGAGAGAGAGGGAGGAAAGGGTGAGTGTGCTGGCAGGAGGAGCGGGGAGGGAGGAGCAGAGAGCGGGACAGGAAGATGTGGCAGAGGCGCCAGGGAAGGCCAGGCTGTCACCCAGGTGGGGTGTGGACAGCAGACAGGAGAGAGGAATGGGGAGGGCCCCCAGCCTGCAGGCTCCTGGACCGGGAGGGCGAGGGTGCTGGGCAGGATGGGGGCAGCTGGGCTCATACAGACCCCGCCCCCAGGTCCGCTCCTTTGCTGCTCACCATCAGCTGAGTCTGGCCGGAAGGTGATCTTGATCTCAAACTTCCTATAGGCATCCTTGATGGTTGGCAGCGGCAGGAAGGAATGTGGGGTCTGGGTGAAGTAGGGCACCACTCGCTCTGCCAGCAGAGAGCACCGTTAGGGAGGGTGCCACGTGGAGTGGTGGGCATTGCCAATTCAAGGCTGGGCGTTGTCCTACCTGGCACCTGCAGATGGACAAAGGCCTTGACCTTGCCCTGCCGGTTGGTGGCAGTGCAGACATAGGTGCCTGCATCCTGTGGCTGGACCGAGGGCAGCATCAGCATGTTGTTCTCCAGGCGGCTTTCGGGGGGCAGGTTGCCATCCAGCTGCAAACACCAGCACTGAGGCCCTGGCCTGGGCCGTACCTCCCACGGGGCCTGCCCCCCATCCTTGCCTTGGCCAGACTCCAAACACTGCGTTTGCTCTGTGCCAGGTCCTGGTCCCCTGCCCAGCTTTTACCTTGTTCCAGGTGATGTCAGGAGTCGGGTAGCCTGAGACCATGCAGGGGAAGACAGCTGCAGAGCCGGCGGGCACCCGGACCTCTGCGGGGGTTGAGATCTGGGGCAAGGCTGAAAAGGAGGAGATGCAGGCCATCAGCAGGATCACAGTTACCACCGTGCCCAGCCGTGCCCTGACCATAAACTTCACATCTGTACCCTGTCCCTGGAGGCAGGCACTGCGGCCCACGTCAGAGACAGGGATCTGTGCTGCTCACTCCCAGTCCCACAGATGGGACTGGGCAGAGTCGGGGCTTAGAGACAGGGTCACTTTGACTCCACAGCCCTAGGGCTCTGCAAGACACCTGGATGCGGAACTGCACAACCCTCTGTGGACTAAGCAGACTAAGGTAGTGTAGGTGGGTAGGTTTGGGGCTGGTCACAGGATTTGGCATAAAAAGGAACAACGGCCTTCAAACTGCCATCTGAACGACTTGTAGGTCTTCCCTGGTAAGGGCAGGCATTCCCTTTTTGTGAGAACTACAGATGTTTTCCTCTGGACATGGCACATCCCAGCCTGCCCAAGGGAAATACACTGCGTTCACTGTTTTCTTTCTTTTCTTGGCCATGCTGGGGTTTGAACCCAAGGCTTCAAGCATGCTAGACAAGTGTTCTGCCACTGAACTACAACCCTGGCTCTTTTAATTTTAAAACAGGGTCATGCTAATTTGCCCCAGCTGGCCTTAAACTTTCAATCTTCTTGCCTCCGTCTCCCCAGTAGCTGAGATTAAAGGCAGAGCATCCATTTTCACCCCTGACTGCCACCATGTGCTGTAAAACCTGGCCCTTACATACACATAACTCAGGGTTCCCAGAAGGGAAGAAAAGGAAGGAAAAACCAGACGAATGAAGACAAAGCAGCATGAGAAGCCCCTGCCTGGGTCCCTGGCCCCTGTCAGGTCCCTGGTGGCCTTCACCTTGCACGAGCAGCAGCACGTGGGACTGGGTGGTGCCGGCGGCATTGGTGGCCGTGCAGCGGTACTGCCCTGCATCGGCCAGCTCCACGCGGGCGATCCTGATCACACTTCCGCTCTGCACGATGCCAGGCCGCAGGCGCCCTCCAACTTTGCTCCACGTCACCTGAGGCTTGGGGTCACCCAGCGCCAGGCACTCGAACTCGACAGAATGGCCGACCACCACGGTCTGCACGGAGGTGCGGATGTTGATGAGCACGGAGGGGAGCGCTGGGGGAGGAGTGGCAGGAAGTCAGCCTGGCCGGGAGGCCGCTGACACTGGAAAAGGGGAGCCCTGGAGCTCCAGGCTTTCGCCCATCTCATCGTGGACTTTTTTTTTAACATATCCCAGCCTTTTTTTGGGGTGATACTAGGAATTGAACCTGGGGCCTTTGCCCTCAGCTGTATCCCAAGTCCTTTTTATTTTGTGAGATACGATCTTGCTAAGTCACTAAATTGCCCAGGCTGGGTTTAAACTTGTGATTCCCCTGCCTCAGCCTCCCATAGTGGTAGGATTACAGGTGTGTGCCACCACACCTGGTCACCTGGAGGGCTTTCTGAGGAACATGGTTGGAGCCCTGCACCCTCTTCCTTCTCATTTCTGCCTCCATGGCAGAAGCCTAAGCTACCCGCCTACCTTGGACAATCAGCCGGGCACTGGCTTGGGCCTGTCCCCAAGGTCCATGTGCCTGGCAAACGTATGTCCCCTGGCAGCTGTGGTCTAAATTCTGGAGTCTGTAAAGAAAAAAGAGTAAGATCAGGGAGTGAGATCAACTGAGAACGCTTTATAATTACAAGGGAGTTACCAGCAACACAGGTGAGCACACAGGGGCAGCTTCGGGCCTCCCATAGTGATCACTGAGGCAGCAAGGCAGGCAGGTGGGCGCCACACCCATTCCAGACAAAGACCCACTGCTCTAGAGCTCAAGGTCCCAGTTCCCGAGTCACAGAGCTACTGTCTTTCTTCCAGTGTTCCAGGCCCAGGCAAGCGCCAAGTGCGTGTGCCAACCACGGTTCCCATGTGTTACACATGGAGGCTCACGCAGGTCAAGCGACCTACTCCAGGGCTTCACTTCAGGCCCAGCCCCACAGGAGCCAGGGCTGAGGCGCCCAGGGCAGTCCTGGGCCCCGTCACTCACCGGAGCACCCCGTCTTGCACGCTGTGGCCAGCAGGCAGCTGACCCCCTTCCTTGAACCAACGGAGCTGAGTGCCTCGGTCACTTGGCACAGCACAGTGGAACTCGGCGCTGGCCCCGATGCTCTTGGTCTCCAGCTGCGGCGTGACCTGCACGGTGGCCGTGGGTTCTGCTGGGCCATGGATATCAGGGGGAGAGCCAGAGGGGCCTGCGAGACATGAGGTTCTGTGCTTGTTCTGTTCTGTTCTGTCTTTGAGGCAGGGTCTTTGTCTATGTTGCCCATGCTAGCCTGGAACTCCTACCCTCAAATGATCCTCCTGTCTCTGCCTCCTGAGTAGCCGGGACAAGTGTGTGACACCTCACTAGGCTTCCAAGCTTCCCTATGTCATGTCCTTAACTCCCCTTCCTCAATCCTGGGACCTAAGAGTGGTCTTCTGGCCCCTTATTTGCTCCTTGCGTGGTCACTCAATCATCACACATAAGGGCCTGTGTAGTGCTTGGGTCCTTCCATGGCTCCCATCCTTGGGGTTGGGGGCACAAGAAGTGGTCCAAGGCAGGAACAGGATGGAGTAGGATAGCCAAGATCATTCTGGCTGTGGTCTAAAATAAGACAATGCAAGGCCACATGTGTGGCACATGCCTGTAATCCCAGCACTCGGGAGGCTGAGGCAGGAGGATGCTGTGAGTTCATGGCCAGCCTGAACTGCATAGTGAAACCCTGTCTCAAAAAGACAAAAAGAAACAAACAATAAAATAAGAGAAGGCAGAGACTTTGCCATGGTGAAGGTCCCTCTGTGCTGGGATGGTTAGAAGTTTGCAGAAGGCAGTGCTCCCATGAGCCATGGGCTTTATAACCATGTGCCTTTCTTTTTTTTTGCAGTACTGGGGACTGAACCCTTAGCACTGATTTCAATCTCCAGTCCTTGTTTTTTTATCTTGAGACAGGGTCTCACTATGTTGCTGAGTTATCCAGGCTGAGATTGAATTTGTGATTCCCCTGCCTCCGCCTCCCACGGTGCCGGGATTATAGGCATGTGCCACCACCCCCAGCTCATTTGTCTAACCAGACTATGACCAAGCATTTTCTCTCCACTTTACAGATGAAGAATCTGAGAGTCGAGGTTAAAGGACTTGGCCAAAGTTGCATAACTGAGTCAGAGTTCAGGCTATTGACTGATGGAGACCACTATGAAGCAGCTCTGAGCAGGACTTAATACTAACCTATTGGCTTTTCATGTTAAAGTGTCAGTGTGCCTGGGGCCCAGGCTCTTGTCTGGAGATGGGCAGCAGACTCATAGTAAGTGAACCTCTATGAGTCACCGGTCCCCCTAAGGCCTGCATTGGCCTGTAAAGTTGGAATGCCTCAAAGGACAAGATAAGGCCACAGCTGAGGATGTTTGGCTCCAACTCCAATTAACTAAAAGGAGACTGCAGCTGCAGGCATCTCGCTCCCGTGGTGAAGGCTTTCCTGGACATAACACAGTTCTCCTAAATTAACATATTACTTGGATACATCCTTAGAGGGTTTCCCAAGTCCTGCCCAGATTCCTGCATTTTCTTCAGTATTCCCCTCCTTTGTTAGATAACTTAATGAATACAAGCTGCCTAGAAAAGCTCTTGGCCCAAAACCCAAAAAAACCCAAAATCCGATTGAGGGCTTGGAACTTCCGGGAACCCTGAAATCATTTCACTTGTCTCATTTATTTAAGCCTTCACTGGCCACTTGTTTGGGAGATTGTGGGCCTGATCAGTCCGCAATAACTGAGGGATAATATTAATGCGATAGTTGACTAGTGGGTTTCATGTTTTGCTGCTCGTACCATTTCAAGAATTCTTTGCAGGCAGCCGTACAGATGCTGGATTCTTCAGCAATGCACTTACAACATGGGTGACCGGCACGGTAGGAGCGGGCCGGTCACCCGTTTACTATCGCTCCTGTCAAGTGTTTACCCTGCCCATCCTGAGCCCTGTGCAGGACAAGGCTGGGATGAATGAATCCAGGCCTGCCGGGTGTCCTTAGGTTGGGCGTTTACGTGAACACAGTCGCTTCCTCTGGCACTGCAAGGTCAGTGCCAAGGGCAGGAAGCAGTATTGAGAGCTGGAGGGGCTGAGAACAGCAACTGAGGGTCTTCCAGCAGGGGGCCAGCCCACCCTGGGCCTCGGAGATCAGGCAGAAGATGGCATTTCACGTGGGACAATGGGGGGAGGCCTTTATCCTGAAAGTAATTTTCCCCAAGTGCCCATGGCTGGGTGCAGGGGGACGCTGACCCCTCTGTCCACACTGAGCCCCGGCCACTTACCTTGGACAAGCACCTGGGCGAAGGCCTCAGCCGAGCCCACCTTGTTGGTGACCTGGCAGCGGTAGCGACCAGAGTCCTCAGGGCCGGTGGGCTCCAGGTGCAGCAGCTGGTTCCTGGTGGTCGCCCTCGAGGGGAGGCTGCCGCCCACCCGGCTCCACTGGAAGGTGAGCGGATGTGTACCATGAGCTAAGCACTGCAGCTGAACCGGTTCCCCGGCTCGCACCGACGCGTGCTCTGGAACTACGGTGGCATACGGCGGGCCTGGGGTGGGTGAGGACAGAGGTCAGGATGGCAGTGGGTACTTGGACTGCAGAGAGGGAAGCCCAGAGAGACGGGATGAACGCCTTACTCTCCACATGCAGGACGATGGTGGCCTCAGCATGCCCGGTGGGGCTGGTGGCGTTACAGATGTACTGGCCCGAGTCCTGCTGGGCTACTCTGGGGATGATCAGTGTATCACCTTCCTGCCGGTGCTGCCAGGGCAGGGGGGAACGCAGCTTGGACCAGTGGATGGTGGGTGGGGGGCTGCCTGTGGGTAGAGCAGACAACAGCACTGGGTACAAGGCTGCCTCAGGGGTAGGGGTGGCAGGAAGGACCCTGGGGGAACCGTCTCTCCATGGGGTCTACTGAGTGGGCAGTTCCCAGGCATGATATCTTGAGATATTGTGCCTGCAAGCCAGGACCCAGGGCACCACAGCCCCGGCAGCCTGTGGTCCACCCTTGGCCACACCTGTGGCTGAGCAGCGCAGCGTGGCCGTGTGTCCAGCCTCCACGGTCAGCTCGGCTTCTTCGACTTGGACCTGAGGGGCACCTGGGACCACAGTGCCAGTGTCCACGGTCACCTCCACCCGCTTCTGTGCTGTTCCCAGGGCGTTCTGGGCTAGGCACACATAGGTGCCTCCGTCGGATGGTTTAGCTGATGAAATCTAGAAGCAAGTGAGGAGAGGCTCTTATGTGACTGCTGGGCAGGGCCTGTGATGCTGGCCTTCCCTTTCGGGCTCTCCTGTCTGACTGCCCCGGGGCCCACTTTCTCTCTCTTTTTTTTTTTTTCCAGTACCGGGAACCGAACTCACGACCTTGCACTTGCCAGGCAGGCGCTTTGCCACTGAGCTAAATCCCCAGCCCGAGGGGCCCACCTTCTCGACACCCGGTAACAGTGCAACCATCCACTTGGCCACAAGTGTCTCCCCAGTCCTCTACCTACCCACGCACCCATCCTTGTGTCCATCCTTTCTTCCTTTTTCTCTCCCACCTTTCTTGCTCCCTCCTATCTTCTGATCTACTCATCATCCCCCTATCCCAGCCCTCCTTTCTGCTCTCCACCCATCTATCTTCCACTCCCCACTGCCTCCTCCAGGCGCCTGCTCAAGGCGGGGTCCTGGCCAGGTAGACCAGGAGGAAGGGTTTGACCTCACCTTCAGCACCGCGTGGCTGTTCACGTGCCCATAGGTCCGAGGCTCCAACCTGGCAGGGGTGCCCATCCGGGTCCAGCGGACAGAGGACCGGGGCTCCCCAGGACTGACACACTCCAGGGCGATGTCCTTTCCTGCTTTCACGTGCACGGGTCCCTCGGGGAGCACGGACACCGTAGGAGGCCCTGCCCAGAAGAACAGCAATGGCTGAGCCACGGGAAACTGAGGCTCTGAGAGGAAAATGCCGAAGGTGGAGGTAGTGTCGGAGGCAGGAGTTGAATGAGTTGGGAATCAGGGCTGGAAACGGGAAGGCAGAGCTGTGGGGTCGACACCTCCTCACCGTGCACGCTGAGGGTCACGACACTCTGGGCCACACCGTAGGCATTGGAGGCCACACAGCGGTAGGCTCCGTGGTTGCTTGGCCGGGTGCCCACGATGGTGATGATGGAGCCGTTGGGGCTGATGTGGATGTTGTCTGGGGGTTACATTGGGGCGAGGAGGTCAGTGAGGGTCAGCCTGGCCCTTCTGCTTGGGTGGTGCCAGCTGGTGTCCCTCTGTTCCGTGGCCCTCTTTGGAGCTGGGTATATGACACGGAGTCAGAGATGGCAGAGGAGTCCTTGAGGACTCTTGGACCGGCCCCCTTAGCAAGTAGATGGGCTTTTGCCTCACCCAGGGCCTCGTGTGAACCCTGTGCGTGTCCCTCAGGCTCAGTGCGTGCGCCTGCCCACTTGCCGTCACCACCCCGCCGCTCACCCTCCAGTTCCTGGTGGCGGGTCTTCCACTCCAGGCTGATGGGCAGGGCCCCCTCGTGGATGAGGCACTTGAAGCTGGCGTCCTGGCCCTGCCGCACTGTGCTACTGGGCGGGTCGATGGAGATGACGGGGCTGCGCAGGCCTGGGGGCCGAGGGGAGAGGGCCCCTCTCAGTAGGTGCAACTGGCTCCCCGGGGAGTCCTGCCTGCGCTCCAGGGTCCTCCCCTTCCTCCCTGCCCTAGGGGTCGCCCACTCTCACGGTAGGAAGAGCCAGAGCCAGGAGTGACCGTGACCATGAAGGAGGCCTCCTGCTCTGAGCCTGAGCCACCAGCCACGCGGCACAGGTACTCTCCAGAGTCGGCAGGGGACACATGGTAGAGCCGCAGTCGGGAGCCATGGGTCTGTTGGGGCGAGGAGGGAAGCATCAGGCCAGGGCACCTGAGACAGGGCAAGCCCCTAAGCATGGTTGTGCCGATACTGGTGTTTTCTCAGGGCTCCTGGTATAGGATCAGGAAAAAGCTTCATTCACAGATCCCAGACGTCCAACAGGCTAACTTGACAGAGGGGGAAACTGAGGCTCAACAGATGACTCTGCAGCAGGGCTGGGAGAAAGGCCTGATAGGTTTCTCGTCCTGAGGTCCCCACATGGGCTGGAGTCTCTGAGGTTTGGGGGCGGAAGGCCAGTGCAGGTTGGACCTCGCCTGCCCTGGAATGCTCCCTGCCCTGGTCCCCCTACCTGGTGTCGAGCAGGCAGGCTGCCCCCACGCTTGTGCCATGTGACCTGGGCATGTGCCTGCCCAGGCACCACGCAGTTCAGGTCCAGGGTCTGCCCTTCGGCCACGTGGGAGGAAGGGGCCTCGATGTAGATGGGCTGGGCCAGTCCTGGGGCTGTGGACAAGGAGTAGGTAAGAGGCAGGCTCCTGCAGTGAAGGCAGGAACCGAAGGCCAAGTCATGAGGCCAACTTGTCCTCCTGGAGGTGCTGAGGCCTGACAGTGCCTGACATGTCTCCCTTCCCTGGGGATGAAGATGGGCTGAGACCCGGGGCTGAGCTCCCACTGGCAGAGGGGAGGAGCTGGAGGACCTCAAAGGCCTAGGGACCCAGAAGCTACCAATCAGAGCTCTTCCAGTCACATCTGGGAAGACCTGGGTGGATTTAACGCTCAACCATAGGACCCTCGTGCCACAGGAGGGCAGGGAGGAGCCGGGCCAGCAGGGCCCCAGCCTGTGCCTAACAGCACCCCCAGCTCCTTGCCACTCACCAGGAATGGGGCTTGGGCTGGAGGCCTCAATTGTGACCAGGACAGACGCCTCCAGGGTGCCCGAGCTGCTGATCACTTGGCATGAATACTCGCCAGAGTCGGCTGGGGACACGTGGTTCAGCCTCAGCAGGGAGCCGTGGACCTGGGGAGGTGGGCTAGGGTTGAGGGGGCTCCAGGAGGGCAGCTTAGGCCTCCAGATGCCCACACTCACTCCCTGGTACCTGCACCCTGGCTGCTGTGCAGCTCAGCAAGCTGCATCCTGTTCAAGGCGACCCCCTTTGACATTAGACAGAATGAAGTATGTGGTTAATATGAAGTCAAAGGTGTTTTTTTTTGTACCAGGACTCGAACTCGTGACCTCACACTTGCCAGGCAGGCATTGTGTCCACTGAGTTATATCCCCAGCCAAGGGTCTTGGGTAAGTAGTGTCCTTTTCTCCTTTGCACAGGGTGCTGTGGGGCTGGTGGTGGCTGGTGGTGGCTTGCTGTGCCCAGCCTGTGCTCAACCTATGACCCCAGTGATCTGCTACAACGATCCCTGAACCCAACGTCTGGGACCACCCTTGGGGCTGGACTCAAGAAGGCTGGCTGGGGAGGAGGGGCGCATCCTGCTTCTTCCGGGACCCATACCTGGTGCCGGGCGGGCAGGCTGCCCCCGCGCTTGTGCCACGTGACCTGGGCGTGCGCCTCCCCAGGCACCACGCAGTTCAGGTCCAGGGTCTGCCCTTCGGCCACTCGAGAGGAGGACGTCTCTATGCGGATGGGTGGGGCTCCGCCGGCACCTGGGGCACAGCCAGGCGTCAGTGAGCAGGGACCCCGGACCTGGGTGCCCAGCCTCTCCCCCTGGAGCTCTGCTGTGCAGGCCAGAGGTGACCAGGGAGTGGCTTCTATCCATTCCCCACGTGGTGCTCAGGCCTGGGACGGCGGGGCCAGCCTGGAGATGGCGGGCCCTTCATTGGTTTGCTAACATTTCCTAAGCTCCAGCAGCATATGGCTAAGAATCCAGGTTCTGGAAGCAAAGTGTCTGAGTTCAAATCCTAGATCGGCCGCTTATTAACCACGTCACTTGGAAAACAACATCACCGCTTTGTGCCTCAGTTTCCCCACCCGTAAGACCAATCACATCTACCTCGCAGGGCTGCTGTGAGGATGAAGTGAATTATGTGTGAACGTGTTCTAAAGTGACCGCTGCCATGGCATAGTCCCTATGCCATTAACTACTGTACATTTTCCTTTCAACTGATGCACTATAAAAAATATGAGGTACTGAGCCCCATTACAGGCAATGATTTCTGAGAAGCTGGGGCAGGTTCATGTTTTTTTCCTTAATCTGCCTTTAGGATCAATAAAAGTGTTTCCTGGGGCCCCACCTGGAGTCACCTGGTGATACCCGTGGAGACACGGGTCCAGGCTTCAGGGAACTCACTACTGACTCCATAGGTAACAGACAGCAAGAGTGCTCCTGTTCCCCTTTACAGTTTTGTTTTGTTTTGTTTTGTTTTTGTCTTTTTGAGACAGGGTCTTGCTATGCAGTTCAGGCTGGCCTTGAGCTCACTTTGTAGCCCAGGCTGGTCTCAAACTCACAATGATCCTCCTGCCTCAGCCTCCCGAGTGCTGGGATTATAGGCGTGCGCCACCACGCCTGGCTCCCCTTTACAGCTGAGGACAGTGACATGTGGCAAGAGGAGTCTTTGTGTAACATCTCTCAGGGGACTTGGAGCTGGGACTCAAGCCGGACCCCAGGTCTTGTTCTTGGGCCTCTTAGTGGACCATAACTACCCATCCTGGATGGGCCCCTCTTCCTGGGGTAGCAAGGGCAGGCAGGGGGTGCAAGTCAGGGATTAGAGGGGCACCTATCTCCGGGTGCCAAAGAGCATTTCCTTTGCCCAGCTCTGCCTACTGCTGCCCTCTCCCCTCCAGTCTCCCAGCCCCACTCAGGACACTCACCAGGGACATGGACAGTGCTAGAGCCAGAGGCCTCGATGGTGACCAGGACCGAGGCCTCCTGCTGACCAGAGCTACCCAGCACGCGGCACACGTACTCGCCCGAGTCAGCTGGGGACAGGTGGTACAGCCGCAGCCTGGAGCCATGGGCCTGAGCAGGGCAGGACAGGGAGACGGGGCAGAGTCAGGTGCCAATCTGGACTCCTTGAAGGCTTGGGGCCAGGCTCTGACCTCTGGCACACCTCCAGGCTCCCAGGCCTCCGTCCCAGCAGAGCGGGCCAGGGCCTGGCCAGCAGCAGCCCTCCCACCATCTCCCGCCACCCGTACCTGATGCTGGGCGGGCAGGCTGCCCCCACGCTTGTGCCACGTGACCTGGGCGTGCGCCTGCCCAGGCACCACACAGTTCAGATCCAGGGTCTGCCCTTCAGCTACGTGTGAAGATGATGATTCAATTCTGATGGGCCCAGCACCGCTGGGGGCTGGGGACAGAGAGCAGCAGGTCAGGGCTTGGTCACATGAAGATTTGGGAGCACAGCTGTGGGGTCCTCATCCACAGAAAACCCCAGGCCCCAGGGGCAGTCATGGTTACCACTAGGCACTCACAGGGCGCCAGGCAGTGTTTTAAGTACCTTATACGCTTAACTCACTTAACCCTTACAAATTCACACGCTTCCTATGAGAAAGAACCGGCTTTTTCTCTGCATTTCCAAGACAATGACAGTAGCCACATGTAGCAATAGAGCACTTGACAGGTGGGAAATGGAAAATTTTATTTTATTTTTATTATTACTATTTTTTTTTTTTT